TTCATGGAGTCACACATTCGCTTGGACATGGTCTATAGTAGTTATTTGAATAGTGAGCAAGTTTTGCTCACTTTCACTTGCATTCGCTCTCAGAATGTAGAAAATTTTTTCCATTGAATTATCTTTTACATCGTATGGCGATCATATTTCGTGTTGTGCTCGATCGAGTTTGAGATTCATTTCTAGATGGTGTTGTTTAATATTTTATTAGCGAGCATCTTATGCTGTCTTGTTTCCTCTTTGCTCGATTTTCGGTTTTCACAATGTTGAAAAGATTTCACCATAGCGTGATAATTTGATGAAGTATAGAAATCTGACGTTCACCTTTCTGCCGAGTGAAACTTTTGTTTTAGGTTGTGCCAGTTAATTTATCTAGGAAAATGGGCAAAGAATATTGAGTACTGATTATTTTTGTTTTTGCCGTGAAGGAAAACTATTCGCGTAAGTAGAGTGTTTAGTAGGGGCGGTGCCAGGAATTTCCATCTGGGGAGGGGAGGGGGGGGGGGGGGCTCAGTCCCTCAACTCTCAAAATGTCAAAACGTAATTGAACGTTTTTCGAATGTTTTGTTTCGTTAAGAATGTACTTGGTTCGTATGAGTATATAAAACAATCACACTTATATGTAGACAAATCAGCTACTTTTATTTAAAAAAAACCTAAAAATACAACTTAACGCAATAAAATTCTGCAGTTCTTGTGGTTGCTTGAAAATTTATCTATCACTCGTTCGTAGTTGATGTCAAAATCACGTTCAACTTCAAGTACTGTCAAGTCACTTAAACGTTTATCGGTCATTGAATTTCGAAGATAGTTCTTGGCTATCTTCATCTTTGAAAACGATCTCTCACAAGTAACTTGAGAGATTAGCATTGTTGTAGCACTTTTAATCATTTGTAACGTTTGTGGAAATGCGCTTGACAATTGAAGTAATTCATTTAAAAATTCAATCACGTCATTGATCGTTTTAGATTGAAGCATGGATTTAATAACAATAAATTTATTTTTTAATGCACTTGGATCTGTATCCATATGACGACTAAACTCTTCTATATCGTCGATATTCAGAAAATTACTACTTTCAGGATAAACGGTAGAGATACTTTTCATCAATGATAAAGTTTTTGATGAAAATCTATCATTTAGCTCTACTAACATGCAATCAATCAAAGGAAAATAGATTCGATTCATAAAATCTGTTGATGATGATAAAACTTCACGTTGTCTAAGTGTTGAATTGATGATAAATGCTTCAAATCTAGCTGTAATTGTTGTCAAACGACATGATCGATACTGTTGTATGAAATCAATTCCATTTACATCGCAAAAGTTTTTTGGTTTATTATAAACTTGTTGAAATGATTGTTCATTTCGAAGATCTTGTATTTGTTGAATAATCGATATTATCAAATGTTCACCACATACATAATCTAAGGAAGGACGTTGAGGAAAAAAAGATAATATCCTTTGTAGTTTCGCAAGAACAAGAAAGATCTTACTTTTTAAATGATCACTCAAGACTTTAATCAAGCCAAATAATCGATGAAGAATGAATGAAGTAATGATGAAAATTGATTTTTTTACATGAACTAATAATCCACCTGCATTGATTGATCTTGAACCACTACCTTCTTCACTAATATCATTAAGTGCTTTTATTATTGCAGGAAAATTATTAATAATGAAATCAATAGCATTCCATCGTGAATCCCAACGTGTCCAAGCCCACAACTTAAGTGTAGAAGATTGAGCTACAAAGGAAAACAAAATAAAAATGGGTTGTATTTTGAGAGAATGTTAGCAGAATAATCACCTAAACCTAGTTCTTGTTGTGCTTGTTTAAAATATGTATTAGTTACTCCAGATTCAGTAAAGAATGAATAAATATTTGCAAGGGTGTGGGTGTGGGTGTGGATGGGCGTAGGGCTGAGTGTGGGTGTGGATGGGCG